TTTCAGGATGATTCACAATTTTTGTAGTTGTAGATTTTTCGGTAGGGATTAACGGTGTTGCTCAGAGCACGCCATACAGCTCATCAGAGGAGATTACCTAAGTAAAATCTATCAACAAAAATCGTATTCACTTTAAGAACGCCAGGTATTTTTGCTGGTACTAATAGCCTCTTCTGAAATATTTCATGTAAACAAAACCATGGAATGATCAATCTACACGTCAATGTTTTTGTTAAAGATTTTTCTTGGAACCGCTATACTGGTGATGGGTGCGTATATAGGCTCTAATTAGTCATTCGGCTGAATCCATATGTTACTTTCTGTGTTTTCGGAACTTAATAGAAAATGAATCAATCTCTTGTTTACTTGATTGGAGCCGATGGACTTATTTGCGAAATAAAACAACAGCAGACGTTAAAAGCAAATGCCTGATTTCAGCTACTAACTTTCAGCCAATATTTGGTTCGGACATGAGGAGAAATGCAATTCTTAGATGTTATCGGTAAAAGACTATAAAATTCGTCACTTTAAAATAATCTGTTAACTAAATCGCAGCTAACTATCCACATCTTTAAGACCAACAACACAATTTTTGTTCCGTAAGTTATGTGAACGTGAATCTACTTGAGTTAGGAGCTATTAAAGAACTTTTCCCTCTTGGTGTTTATAGCCTGTAAACTTACTTGAGATGTTCCTGTAATCATATTTTTGATAAAATCCCGATGTCCTGGAGCATCGATAATTGTGATGGAATATTTTTGTGTTTCAAATTTCCATAGCGAAATATCAATTGTAATACCGCGTTCTCGTTCAGCTTTCAGTTTATCTAATACCCATGCGTATTTGAATGAAACTCTACCTATCTAAATAATGATAGCAATATATATTTTCGATGCCAGTACACCAAAAGTCTAAAATGATTTACTTCAGCTGCCTCTTTTTCATATTTTTCAATTGTTCGTTTATCAATACCGCCACATTTGTAGATCAAGTGTCCAGTTGATGTTGATTTTCCAGAATCAACATGACCAATAACAACAATACTAACATGAATTTTTTCTTTACCCATACTTGCTTTTCAGATTTTATTAGTTTGCCGCTAAGAAGATTGAAATATTCGATATATAATAAGAGTAAGTTTGTAGTTCGACAGAAACACTTTTCGACAGCGTGTTTCGACATTGTCGAATTTCGAGCGAAACATTTTCGACAGATTTCGTTCGAAATTCGACACTGCCGAAAGCCTGTCGAATTTCCATTGAAAAATTTTCAAAAAGACATAAAAGAGTAATAACGTAAAAGCGCAGGAGGTGGCATGGGTGGGCATGAGAGTGAGTCACCAGACCACATTCAGTGTCCAACCACTAAGCCTCGAAGACTCTTAATGGTTTCTTTTCTTCAGACATAGTGAAATGGTGACGTAAAGACGTAGGGATTGTCTACGCTTTTGCTTTTCTAGTAGAGAAGTGAAGCGAAAAATCTGTCAAATTTCGAGTCTGTCTGAAATTTTTCGCACGAAATTCGACAGTGTCGATAGTATCCACTCGAAATTTGACAGTATCGAAAGCCTGTGGAATTTCGATTGAAAACTTTTGATACTGGCGAATTTCGAGCGAAAAATTCGACAGTGTCGAAACCTGTCTGTCGAAAAGTGCAACTGTCGATTCTGATAAATAATGTTAACAAAATTCTATATAAATAATGTTCTTCTTAAGTATGTCTTATATATATATATACACATTTCAAAGCAGAATAAGATTGCACAAGAATATAGATAAATTGCAAAATTCTAATAAATGATTGCACAATTAATAAGAAATTGTGAAATGCTTCTTCGTCTTGCTCTTATGCTTCAACATATGTATGCTAAATGTCTTATGACGGTTTGAACACAGAACTTGGGTAACTTTAACTTACGCAATGTATGAAATCTAACAAAAAAAGATGAAATAATAAAAACATGTCGTGGTCGTGGTAGGACGTGTGTAAGGAATAGAAGGAGAAAATATTTTTGAAAGGTAACAAGTCTATTCGTATGTGTGTGTGTCGCAAGAGGGTTTATAGACAATAACAATGCGCCACGACACACGCACGGTGAGCATTTTAAGAGAGATAGTATGTGTCATCAAGTATGTTTAAATATACCTATGTCGCGAATAAAATCATAAGTGAACCCATAAATTTGTGTAAATCAGGAACAGAAAAATAGTGAAGAGATAAAATGCACGGAAAGAAGAGTTCGAGCGAAATATATTTTTCGACATTTTACAAACCATTCGATATATATTTCAAAATTGGTCGTCGATTTTCACTTTTGGAGAAAATGGCGAATACGGGTCAGAATTTCAATCGTTGAACGAGAATCCTTGAGCGAGAATCCTTGGTGAAAATAGTTCATCACACTGTGCCAAAAGAGACATAAACTTCTTATGGCTTCTGCATGATCGAACATCTGAATCTAAACCATTCCATAATCTTATTGTTTTGGGTATATGACCATTACGAATATTTTCATTATATTCAAAACAATCATAGGACAATTGGTCATTTATGTTGAACATCAGATATGAATTATTGTGATTATTTAAATAATTAATTAAAACAGAATGGATGGAAAATGTGGATTTAAGTAATAAACAATGAACATTAGATGTTATCGCACAAGTAGAGCCATTAATTGTTTTCATCAACCATAAAGAATAATGGATATGTTCCTAACGACTGCTAATCCACACTTTAATGAATGATTTTAGACGAACAAAATCTGCTTAACTTTTCCCCGTAGAATTTGAATAAAGTTTGGGAACACAAGGATAATGCCTTTTGTAGCCAGCCATAAACTACAGGTCTCATCTTATGCTGATTTTGCTGTACGAGCAGAAAGTCTTAAGTTTACTTGTGTTGGTAGCAGAATAGAGAATGGTAAGATGCAGGGAAAGCAGAGTTCGAGCGAAATTTAGATTTCGCTCGTCTATACATCATTCGATAGAGAATTGAATGAGGATCACGAATATCTGGTCCCCATCTTCCAAAACCGTTTCCTCGCTGAGGTATCACCAGCAAGCTGAAATTTTCCTTGAATGGCTTGATCTGTGATGAAAATCAGAGAAGCGTTAACAAAATGAAAAGGTCAAACGTATTAAGAGATTCTTTGGTAACCTAGCAAGATATTATGTACAATGAGATTTATTAGTGTTATTGAATCTTACAGATAATCCTTCAGTAAGAAAGTGGTAATGCGTGGTCATTTCAGGATTGATATAAGGTTGTTTTGCTTGAGCCAAGTAGCTTTCGTCATGAAGGTGACTACTCAGCTGGTCTTTTTATTCCATTCTAAGCGTTTATTTGGCTTGAAGTTCTCGCATTTATGGTGAAGTTTGAACGAAAATATTACTGTTTTACTTTCCAAGCCTAGTCCGTTTTTACAATTCGGGCATGCTTGATTCACAATATTCATCTCAGGCATTATACTGGCATGAAAGATTCGAGATAGAGGCGTGATTGGAGTCTACACATACGGGCACGCTACGGACATGCCGCTTGACAGTTGAAGACACTAATTTTGTGTGTACTTGAAGCAACAGGCATTTGTCGGGCAGGTAGGATGCATTCTGTTCTCTCATTTTTTTATTCAACATTTTGTTTTGTCAGCGTAATAATTACATAAACGTTACAGTTTATGTATGATAAAAAATAATGTCAAAATTCTAATTTTGCGTAATTATTCTTAGTTAGAGTTCAAATTACATACTTATTTTACAACTTTAGTTTAGATGTACTTAGCAAAATTGATGAGACTTAAAACCAGTTTTATACTCTGCCCTTGAGCTTCATGTTATGGAACTCGAATCGGTCCAGGTATTTTGTAATATTTGTTACACTCAAGATCTTTTAGCTAGCAGGGGCTTGATATAAAGGAGATATGAGCAGCGTGGCTCAGTCGGCTAGTGGACAGACAACGTACTTCAAGGATACGGAGCTCGAATCCAGGCAACGGCACTCGCGTGATAGTCTTGGACAAGCTAACTAATGCTCATTGTCTCGGTACCTTTGGGCACAGATGCAATGGGATAACCCGATTTTAGTGGCCGTTGGACTGGAGAGATGAGAGTTAGAGGTTAAAAAGAGAAAAAGAAAAGTAGATTGTAGTGTGGGGGGAGTGGTGGAAGAGTACACTAAAGCCACTGAATGATGAACATCATCTGTTATTATTGTTGTTTTCTAGACTGAAACAAATGACTGAATAGAATAATCTTTTACGCACTTACTTTTAAAAAAAAAAAAACTGGCCCAGTCTTTATTTCGTTACACATTTTCTGGCATAAATTAAATATAAATAACTGCCAAGTGCTGAAAATCGTCCATTATCGGTACAATGTGTCTAGCTAATCGTCCAGCAATTACTAGAATGACATTTTACCATCTTCTCTATTTGTAATATAGTCAACACATTCATCTCAATTTTGAAACACTTCTAAATAATTAATTATTGATCTTGATTTCTGTTTTATATTTGGAAAATTTGTTAAAACTTCATTTACATCGGGATCAACCCAAATAAGTGAATATGATTCTAAATTCTGACTGGTTTGCGACATTTAACAGATGATGGCTGAAGTAGTTTTGTTTATCAGTGTGGAAAAAATTGTAGAATAAAAACAAGGTATCGTTTTCGCTCTTTTTTTAGTCTATAGCTGTAAAAGTAATAAACGTACAATTTACGACAGTGACTAAGAAAGAAAGAATACACATAACTCAGTAAGGTAACTACTGTAATGTCGCGAGGATCTTTAACTGAAAATTATTAGATGCAGATACGAACACTTTAAATTTTCTTAATTTTATGTTTATTCAGTAATAGAACTTGAAAGAAATGAGACACTTTGAAATTATTTCTGCGAGAGTTTTGCTTTTCTTTCTCTTCAGTGAATACTGATAAGAACTGTATACGGTTTTTCTCTTTCTTCTATTTTTTATTGCTCGTCAAAAAGATATACTATTTTTCTTATACAGGTAAATTCATCTCACATCATACCAAACGTTTTTTGGCAAGAAAAATATAAAAATTTCTAAATACACATCATTCAACTGCCAGATTTGCCAGATTCGGTAGTACAAACCGAGAAGCACTATATCACGGGTTCCCAGACTGGATAGTATCCAGTCTGGGGTCATTCGTATCATCAGATGTGTGATCGACTGTCTGGTGCCATGTGCTCCACTCGCCAGTCAAATTTTTGATGAAGCTGAACTGGCCATCCATTAGTCGGAGCCGAATTCATTTGAGTGTAAGTAGTACTAAAATTAAAGCTGGCTGGAGTTGCTGTATTAAATTGAGCGTTGTCTGAACCAAAAGTTTCCAATAGAACTGGACTACCATGTCCGCCAGCACAAAGACCTTGAGGTTCTAAACATGCATGAAAAAGGCAAAATATAATAATAGTCTAATTCTTGTTTTTCTGGAACGGTTTGTCATATGGCCATGAAACGTTTCGCGATAATAGATCTCGAGTTAGGAGAAAGTTTGGCTACTGTTATATACACGTTCCGATCCGCATTCTTGATACATTGGGTGATTCGTATCATGTGTATTTCCTTCAATTTCTACACCATCCCAACAAAAATAAGAGACTAGAAACACCATGACTGAGATGACTTAAGGTCATACTTTGATTCATGACCATTAAGAAATTCTTTTTTATCTGTTGATGATGCTGACACTACTTGAAGCACTTTAGAAAAGTTTGCTGATAGAGGTATGTTCCTTCAGCGTTATAAAACCAGTTGCTAAGAGATGTATATCTTATCTAATTAACATAACTTTAATTAAAGTGTGTGTTTTCCTGATTTATAGTAAGTATAGAGTATTCGACTAGGACTTTAAGATAGCCTACTTTTCCAAAAAGACTACTGTGTAGTTCTTAAATCATATGGGTGACAGCATGAGTGCGTGAATATAAAAAGACCTTTTTACATATCGACGAAATAATATTCATTTAGACAAATAATTTGTATTCGGCTTTCACTGAATCAGCTGTTCCGTGCAATGGGTTACACACAAAATAAGTTAAAGGAGCTTTCCAAAGTAGATTCCGATCAGTCGAACGGCGTTTCTGTAGATTGTTAAACAACTGCTTTAGTTAAACATCTCAATGCCTACGTGCTGTCCATTGCCTTCGTGTATTTTTGTTGACACGAATGTGATTAAATGTCTAACTGATACGTACCGTAATGTTAGCTAGTGCCTCACGACTGATTGATGTCTTTTCGGTGTCTGATCGTGTCATCCTTAGAAGTGACTTTTCAAGACGCGGAGACGTCTGACTGGTGTCTAGTATCAAAAAATAAGTTAAAAGACGCACGTTGAATAGCTTCATTATGTACTGTGGATACATTTTTCAAGCATTACAATGTTTTACTACGGCATTTTTTATCCACAGTGTAAGAAGATTACATACAAAAAGGAATTTCTTCATACTTAGGTACATTCTAAAATACGTAAAACGAAACATTTATTATATTCTGCTTCAAATGCTGTTATTATTTTGCAAGTGTACTTTAAAACACAGTTTAAATGATCTTATTCACAGGAAATCCACAAATTTTGACAAAAACAAAAACTGCATTTGTACGCAGTGTACTATTGACTTTATATCATGTGGATGTTGCCAAGTACTTTCAATGAAACTCTTCCAGTAGCAACGGTGATCCAACATGCAATGACAAGTAAAACGAGAAGAAAAGCTAATCTTTTAGAGAATATTCAATAGTCTTTACGATTTCTTTACTATGTGCATCAACGACCCAGGCGAAAACCTAAACGTTTGTTATAGGAGAGAGCAAAAGACTTTACTGGTACAGTAGAAAAAGTCCAAGAGGATAAGAAAGATAACAATAATGCTTTTGTCGTTCCGGTCGATAAAAAATTCTACTCTCTTTTTGCATTATTGGCACCTTATAAAGATAGTAAAAAATCAAGAAAAGTTAAAGTTCTGTACGGAAAAGGTACACTATGTGTATCACATAACAAGTTTATAAACTTCTCTTTTGAAGAAAAGTAACCGAAGTGTACTTGATGTCTACTGTTGAATATGGCGTAAACAGGCAGCTAAACAAACAATGTTTATATTTTCATTATTCTTTTTGAAAAAATAACACACAGACTGACATCTCGAAATCTTTGGCACACGCATCTCTTAAGCTCTAAACATCTCGCAGTTCGAAAATGATACGAGAAACCAAATGCAACAGGCAACACCAAGGCAAGATCTGTTTCAGAGCTTTGGGAAATATTTTCTTTTCTTAGAAAGAGAAATATTTTTGAAAGCTAGAAACATTTGCATTTAACTACCAGTCTTGAGAACACACAATAAGAATGTAAATGAAAAGTGTTTAGCTATCTCTGATGATAAAATTCTATTATGCTTTCGTTACCGTATTCATTATTTGCTTTTTGTCGTTTTTAGAAGAAAAACAGAAAAATAGTGACTTACAAAAAAACGTTCACGCGACACAATGTCAGCATTATTTGGTCGTAGCAGCCAAACAAGATTCTGGATTGGATCAACAGGCGTTTTTTGGTCATCAGCCTATGGCGAAATGATTTACCATGAATTTAAAGATAAAACATTTCGAATGCCAATATTGGCCTTAGCAGCAAATATTAATTATGGAGTTCTTTATTCAATAAAAAGGAGTTTATTTATTTACACAATCGTATTTGGTTTATGATGGATTTCTTTTTGGTATATCAAGTATCTAAATATGGTTCAAATGAATTCAAAGATGTATACTAGAACAATTGTTTCGAGCATTATTTCTCATATGTTTGTATATGAGCCATCGATTTGCCAAACATATGGATTTATTTTTTACTGCTGATGGACATTTTCTGCTGTATTTTTAAACAATTAAATATCATTAGCAATGATTGCAATGTTCTATCGTTGAAAAAATTTACATGGGACAACCACTGAAGGGTACTACTTATTAGACTTAACAAATGAATTTAAATATACTGATTGGAGATATAAACACAAATCAGTACATTTAAATTCATTTGGTAGTCCTAATAAAGTCAAATAGGGTACACGTAAAATTTTAAATTAATCATCTGTCTGGTTTCTATTATCAGCATTAGTTTTTATTTCATTTTCATTTTTCGAAATTTAGACAGATAATTGACATGACCGTGTTATCGACTGCAGTAAGAATAACACATTATTTATAGTCCCTTTTTGCATGAACATTTTAACTACAACTTACTATGGAATCTCATTCGTGAGCAATTAGCCTTTCTATTAAGTTTGAAACATCTATTCCTCACCATGATACAGCGGATATGATCTTGACATTCTGACACAAGCAATGATCCTTAATCCTGCACATTTTCACAGTTGATTTTATCATTTGTTTTATCATTTCTATTCTGCAGCTACATAGTACCAGTTAGAAGAATATTATTAAATCCTTGTTTCTCTTTGATATATTTATTTAATAAGAAATTCGACGTCTCGGGTTGTCACAATAGCCCTTCTTCAGAAAAATAAAATTAAAGTTAAAAAGTTTCTGTGAGTGAAAATAATATTCTTCTAATCCACCTCATTTCTTATAAGTATTATTAACTTTTAATTAACAGTTTCAGTGTTCTTCTTTTTTTATTGCGCATTGTGCGTGCTCAGTAACATAATTGTGACAAATATGTAGGTTAATCAAGATGGATGATATTGTCGACTGATCCTAATGAACCACGAAACAGATTTTTCCACAGATTAGTATCATTTGTTCTGTATATTATCGCAGTACTCATCATTTGTACTACGTACTATTGATACAACGTTATTAATGAATAATACGACTACACTTGCCCAGTCAGCAGCCACAACAGGTTATGTTCTTGAATTATATTACTTGCTAATAATTGTATTAAGTGCATTTGTTGGCATATGTTTTAGTCTAGCATGTTTAATACGTTTTTTACGAGAGCCAAAACTTCGTACACATTTTAATTATTTATTTCATTATGTGATCATATTTTGCATAATTGGGGGTCTATTTAGCGGCCCTTATTTCATTGCTGGTTATGATTTGATTCTATTTCAAAAATCAATTGAATTCTGCCATTTACATGTTGTTACTGGATATTTTTATTTTATTGCGATACCAACAACAATTTGTTTTACAAGTATCGAAAGACATGTTGTAATGTTTAGAAGGAATGGTGTATTAACGTGGAAACGCCAGTTAATTCCATTTAGTTTGATTATTTTATATTGTTTCTTAGTAGTATGTTCATTTGCTTTAATACCACAATGTAATTATTTGCCTTGTGTGCCATGTACAAATCTTAATGTACATATATTATTAGCATGGCAAACATGTAGTTTTATTTTACCGTTGATAATAACAATGTTATCAACATTAGCCTTTCTGTTTCGTTTATATAATTATTTTAATGAACAAGCTCGTATTCGAAATGGTATTGATAAACAACAATCAAAAACATTGAAAATTGTTGCTATACAAGCGATTATTTATTTATTATGGTGTTCTGTAGTATATTGTCCACCTAATATTTATAATTTTCTCGTTGCATATAATTCAAAACGGTATACATCATCATTAATGAAAACAATTGGCGGTGTCATTAGTAATTGTGGCTTACAAGCATATCCGATCATCACATTTTTCTTATTTAAATCGACAACAAAAAGTATATATGCACAATCAACAAGTCGTAATACAAATAAAAGTCCTCAAGAGCAAAATACAACTTCTACGTGAAATTGGCAGAACAATTATACGACAGAGTCGTACGTTCGGTATTCTATAGAATAACTCAGAAAGGCAAAGATCATTAAGCCTTGTGCTTTTATCTCCCATCAGTCACATGGTCATTAGCTGGCTTTTTAGTTAGCTCAACGTATTGGCATACGTGTAGGGGAAGAAACTAGCGAAGCTCTATCTACGTGGAGCATCAACAACCATTACGAACATGATCATTACTACCATGTTTTTCAATGAATAAGAGAGTCCGTTGTTTGCTTATAACGTTTTAAGGGAAACACGTACCGACCTGCGGTTCTCACCATTCGAAAGAAGGTAAACTTTGCTATAAACCCATGTGAAAACAGAGGGAAAAGCAACATCTATAGGCTGTGTCTCAATCGAAACAAAGGTGAAAGTCATTGGAATTTTTGGCGAAAGAAAAGTCTTTTTTGTTTTTTCGCTAGTCTAGGGCTCTTAAGTTTCCAAATCTGAAAGCATTTTTTTTCTATCATGTTTACTCGCGGAGGCCTTTTTATGTATACAACTTTTCAATGTACAAGGACGAGGATATTGCATCAACTGGATCATGTTTTATCGAGAATAACGGGTGTTCCAGAATAAATCGGTCACTTAGTATTTTGCTCATATCTTAGTTGAATTGTATCCCCTAAGCTTTGTTGTTTTCTTAAAAGATGTGTCGTAAAATTCTCTACAAAAAATATATTAAA